AAACCCTAAACCCTGGAAACCTTAAACCCTAGTACTGCTAGGCCGGGGCCTGGCCGTCAGCGCTGCTTCTCCTGCTGAGCAGTGCTGCGGAGGGGCTGCGCCCAAATGAGGTTGCTGTGAGTTGTTTAGGGTTTAGGGTTTAGGGTTTAGGGTTTAGGGTTTAGGTTGTAGTGTACACTCTTTTACCCTTCTGTCTCAGCACTATGCTTTCTGGCTTGTCCTTCATGGGGCAGGTGGCCATCAACTCCGCCATCAGCGCGTGTGACGCCAAGCTTTCCAGCAAGTTTGGTGGTGTGTGTGTGTGTGTGGGTGTGGGTGTATTAAGAGCGGCTTAGGAAACCTTACAACATAACCTCTAAAGCTCCGAAACCCTGTCCCTAAACCCTAAACCCAGATCCCTAATTAAACTCTTAATCTGTAAGCCCCAAATCACCTCATCTCTAATCCAGGGGCCTTAATAGTTCGACTCGGGCTTGGGCGTATATTATATGACAGTTGTAACAAGGGAACCCTCAAAACCCTGCTCTAACTATTAAGGCCCCTACATCTAAGGTTAGAAGCATGGGCCCCTAATATGGACCCTTAGGGGATTCTAGGGACCCTTAAGGGTACACATAGGGCATATAGTAGGTATATAAGGATCCCAGGCTTAAGGGCCCATACTCTTCAAACTTAGACTAAACCCTAAACCCTAAACCCTAAACCCTAAGCCCTAAACCCTAAACCGTGCACCGTGCCGTCTCGCCTTGGTGCTAGGAAGATGCTGGGCATTGGCGGAGTGGTCTTCACCTGCTCATGGACATGCCATCCAGTACCCCGCACATTACATACTGTAGCCAAAAAAAAGGTTTAGGGTGATAGTTCTTACTGGGGTTTCTGAATATGGGTAGGTCTCTAAATTAGGGTCCCTTGTGGGGTCCTTTTTACAAGGGTGCCATACTATATTGGGGACCCAAAAAGGGACTATATCAAAGACTATTTAGTTGGATTAAAAGCAGATATGAAGCCGTCTTTAGGGGTTCAGGGGCTGCCTAAGGTTGAGGAGCCTCAGCTTCAGGAGTTTGGTTTATTAGAGGGTATGAGGTTTAGGGGTTAGGGTTTAGGGTTTAGGGGGATTTTGGGTTCAGGGTCTGCATGTTTTTTTTGTTGACGGCTTGTGCTCTGCAGGTTTAGAGGGTTCAGGGGGTGTTGAGGAGAAGGCAGAGCCTACGCCCGTTGACTTCAACCGGCTCCTTAGGCTTTCGTGTCTGTGAAGCGATAGATCCAACTTCGGGGGTTTAAGGACAGGTCGGGGGCCGCATGTGTTGCATGCTCGCGTCGGCAATTTATGTGTATGTATATATATATATATAACTATATATAAATATATATATATATATATATATATATATATATGTGTATATATATATATATATTAATATATATTAATATGTGTATACATATATATATATATATATAAATAAGCAAATAAGTAAATAAATAAATATAAATAAATAAATAAATATATATATATATATATATGCCTTTTGTTGACTGCCCTGAAGCCGACTTCGTTTGCTGTGTTGGAGTGATGGCAGGTCCCAACAGAGAACCCCCGGTAGATTGGCTGCGGGGCTTCGAGGGGGAATACGTGTCTTCGTGTCGGCCCCATAAGATGCAATGCCACTGCGACGGAGTTGGCACACCCATGAATCCACCATGTGCGCAAGAAGACGTAAACAGTCTCGTTGCTGCTTTGATGCCTGATAGCCCCTCTGCCTGAAGCTTCGATGAAGTCATTTAAGGATCTGGCATCAGTTTCAATGCCGCCATCAGCACCTGTGCGAAAGCTGCGCAGTGGACAAGAGGGGTGCAGCTTCTGGCAGAGACGAGCGAAGCCAACATCCATCCGAATGCCATTGGCTTCTTGGTGATCTTCATTCTGGCTCTGGGGAACGAATCGTCGGAGCCTAAACTTAATACTTGCCCTGACCTTTTCATCATCGTCCTCTCGGTCATGTTCTCAGACGTGGATGAGCAATTGATAAAACACGGGGTGCCAACAAACACATGGTCACAGGGACGACCCACGTACGACATAGAGTGTGCCGACGATACGCTTCTCATGTCATTGACCACTCCGCAAATGCAGCACTTCCTTCATCATTTAGAAACTGATGCTTCCAGATATGGTATGTCTCTTAACAACACCAAGGCAGAATTGCTTTCCACCCCCTTCAGTAGGCCTGGCCAACCACTTTTGCAAGACGGGGCTAAAGTTCCTCAGGTGGATTCGGTAAAATACCCCTAAACCCTAAACCGTCCATGGCTTCTTCAAACCCTAAACCCTAAACCCTAAACCCTCTGCACTTTACCATAGACCGGCAGTAGCCGAAGAAACGTTCAAAAAGCTGAGGTCGGTATGGACCCAGGGAGCCCAATACGCCTTAATTAAGGAATAGACCTTACATTATAAGGGACTTCAAAGATTATGATTTAAGGTATAGTCCTTAATTTTAGGATATTGGGCTCTCTGGGAATATAGGTGCCTTAACAAGTAGAATAGGGTTTTGGGGGTCATTCTAGTATCATTTTTTTAATACGGAGCCCGAAGAATAATACTGGTAATTACTTAGGCTTCTACATTAGTCGTCTCCCTAGGAGGGCAGAGGTTCGAATCTTCCCGTCCACATTTGTACCGTGCCTCACATACACTTCCCCTGACCACTCCGCACCTAAAACGGGATAGACGCGTTCTACTACCGACTCTTAAGAAGAGCCATTACTACTCGCACGTCACTAATGAGCAGGTTTACACCCAGGCCGAACACCCTCCTAAGCCTTCCGACTCCCTGAAGACTTCTCAACATTAGTATGTTGCGAGAAGTCTATACCCATAGGCCCCATAGTAGTTCCTTTTGGGGGTTCATCTTTGGAATCCTATAAGGTCATCCCAACAAGGAACTACTATGGGGCCTATGGGTAGTCAGCCACAGGACATCCGGATCCACAACGTAGTCTTTTGCTCTGCGTATCGGGGTCGTATTTACACCCCAGGTAGGCGCAGAGGTATGCAAATACCATACGGGCTAGAGTCTACAACCAAGCGTCATTATCCTGTGATATGGACTGACCACACAGCAGCTTCGACCGTAACTTCAGGCCCTAATTTTAAGTGCGTTGTCCTAGCACGGAAGCTTCGACAAGAAAAAGGAGCGGCGCCAAAGCATGTGCAGTAGCATGCACGGCCCCATCAAAAAAAACTTATAACATTCCTTATGGCTCCTTATTATGACCTATCTCATAATCATAGTAAGGGGCCCTATTCTGATTGTTACAGTAAAGTCCCTGTATTGCGTCCTGCGGTACGGCCCAAAGCCAAAACAGGATTCCGGGCAAAAGTCACAGACCTAAGATCGCAAACTCAAGTTCCCAGGCGGTGATTTTTGGGTCTAAAGGGTTTTGGTTTTGGGGTTTAGGTTGTTGGTTTTGGGGTTTGAAACCTAAAGCCACAACGAAAAGCCCAATATAGGTGCCTAAACAACTGCCACTACTATTTTGGGGTTCCTTTGTATAGTTCTAGCATCATGGCCTGCAAAACCCTGTTCTAATGATTAAGGCGCCCACATGAAGCCCTAGACCGGAACCCAAGAATCCAAACCAAGGCATTAAATCTAAGCCAGAAGCCAACCCTAAAACACCAGACCCTTGAACGTGATAATGGTAGTCTCATAGAACCCTGAAAGAACCCCTCCAAAATTCAAAGTTCCTCGTCGCATCCGAGGCTTTAACGCTACCATCGATGGTTGCGCAAAGGTTGGCCAGTGGCGGGTGGCCGTGTCGTTGCTTTCTGCCATGGAGGCCGCTCAGGCGAGGGCTGCACTTGTTAGTTTTCTGGTGGTGGGGCTGTTTCGGTCTATGTAGGGTTCTACAGCTACCGGCTTCTATGTCTTCACGGCTCAGGGATACGTTGTTGGTTGTTTTTAGGATGCAGATCTTCACACCCCGATCCCGTGACGGCACTTCACGACTCCGTTGCTGTTTCCTGTATGCAATCGAAACCAACAAATTTCGAAAAACACCCAACCAAACTAGCAAGCCACGTACCCACCTACCTACCTACCTACCTACCTACCTGCCTGCCTGCCTACCTACCTACCTACCTACCTACCTACCTACCTACCTACCTACCTACCTACCTACCTACTTACCTACTTCACTAGCTAGTTACCAACCTACATGCATACGTACATATACTTTTGTATTTGTACAGACATACATACGTACATGCATACACAGAAACAAGGCATGCAATATGTCAAGCAACGTACACACGCATTAGCTCATTAGCACATCACCATCAGGTAGTCATGCAAGTGTGGATTTATGCAGGCCTGCATGATGGATGCAAGTATACGCGTCTGTATGCATTGATGCATGTATGTATGCATGCACGCACGCACGCATGCATGGATTCATGTATGGATGTATGGATGGATGGATGGATGTGTGTTTGCATATATGTCTTTATGTATGTATGTATGTATGTATGTATGTATGTATGTTTGTTTGTTTGTTCGTTTGTTCGTGTGTGTGTGTATATATATATATATGCATGCAAGCGTGTGTGCATGTGAGTATGTTTGTGTGCTTGCATGCAATCTGTGTATGTATGTATGTATGCATGTATGTATGTATGCAATGTGTGTATGTACGCATGCATGCATGCATGCATGCATGCATGCATGCATGCATGCAGGAGTGAATGAATGAATGTATGTATGTATGTATGTATGTATGTATGTATGTATGTGTGTATGTGTGTATGTGTGTATGTGTGTGTAAGTATGTAGGTGAGTAGGCAAGTAACGAAGTAAGTAAGCATGTATGTATGTGTGCATGCGTGTATGCAACCATCACAAAATTGCACGCATGCATACGTGCATGTATGTACGTATTGTTGTATGTTGGTATGTCCGTAGTTATATGTGTGTGTATGTTTGTATATGTGCATGGATGTATGCCACGAAAATCATGCCTGAAAAGACCAAAGATAGATCGGTAGATAGATAAGGTAAGGAGGTAGATGCAGAGCGAGTTATGTAGGTGAGTAGGTAGATGTATAGACGAGGTCGTTTATTGAACGTTCGGTGCACAGAAAGGTATGAGTTCAATACAAGGTGGTGCACTCAAGAATCCTGAAGTAGCCTATTTCTGCATGCAGAACCCCAAGACCTGAACCCCCAACCCTAAACTTCGACGCTTCCACCCAAACCCCTCAGACCCTAAACCCTTAACCTGAAGCCTAAAGAGCTGAATTTCACATTGCAGAGCGGAGGTTGCCGCTGATTCTGTGAGTTTCAGCGCAGCCCTCAGCGCTTGCGAGAGGGCCAGCTGCTGGGAGATGGGTCTCGCGCTGCTTTCCCAGATGGAGGACCTCAGGTTTACTCGTAGGGTTTAGGGTTTAGTCCTTATAACCCTTTGCCACGGTCCAGAACCAGTGTGCTTAGATCATCAGGGCTTTTGTAAACTGAGGCCTAAAAGCTTATTTTGTCAAGAGCTTGGCGAACTTTGTCTTCAGTTATTTGTTTTTGATTCTATTTGATGTTTTTTTGTCATCATTTGTTTTTCATATAACTTTTATTTTGATAACTCTTGCTTTTTATGATGGATTCAAATTCCGGTGCTGGCTTCCTGCTCTTCTTCAAGATCGCCGAGGCCAGGGTCATAAGGTGGGTGGGGTGTGTGGGGGGTGGGTGGGGTGGGCCGGGGTGGGGCGGGGTGGTGACACCCGGCACCTCTCCAAACCCCACAGGCTGCGGCGGAAGCCTCCCTCGATTCGCCAAGTGCCAGCAATCTCGCTTCAGGACGCTTTGACGAGCCGGCACACAGTAGTGAAGATGGATGTGGAAGGTTCCGAGCTTCAGCTTCTGTCTAAGCGTCGAGACTGGAAGAACACCCGCCTCCTCATCTTGGAATATTCGGCCGGCCGAAGCCGACACTTCGGCGTTGGCCCGCTGGATGCCCTGCGATCTGGCGGGTTCACGCACCTCCACTTGGAAGCAGTGGGCTTCACGACGCCAAAGTTCTGGACACGGGACGGGAACATTAGCCGCAAACCTGGACTGCATGGTGTGGGCATACCGAAGAATTCCTGGTGTCGATCACGACCTCGTGAATTTCTGTGCTTCGCCCGAAATGGAGCGCCTTCTTTGCGACCTTCCCGGCAGGCTTCGCAAACTCTCTGGGTACCCAGAGGCCGCAAAACCGCGGAAGAAACGTGGCGCAAGCTCATATTCAGCGGTTGCCAGCTGAGCCCCAGTGTCGCCCATGCATATGCTCCTGCAACGTGACTTGGCTCCAGGGGGATGTCGCAGAGCGGGTGCATTTGCATGTCAACGGTTGTCACTCCCGAAAGCTTGACATATTAGGGCTGTTACACCGATCTGCAAGTGTGGCGGGCGGCCATTTGGGGGGGGGGGGGGGGGGNNCGGGCGGATGGGTGAAAGGCGCCTGCTTGCCAAAATCGGCCCGGAAAAATCTTATCAGTTCTTATTTAATTAGTCTTACTGAATTTGAGTATTTCATCTTATTGAGTTTTATCAAATCTTATTGGATCTTATTTTTTCACGTCGCACAGCCGCAGGTCACAGTGCGGATTTGTGACTTCTGGTTGGGAAATCGCAAATGCTCGCCACCGTTTCGCGGGGGGCTCCGCCCCCCGCACCCCGTGGATCGAGAGCTTTCCCACCGGGAAAAGCAGTGGGGACCCCCGCTACGCCCCCACCCCCCACCCTGGTGCAGGCGAAATTGAGGATCACTTGTGTTTTATATCAATCTTTTCTTGGAAATGTAGAGATTCTCTTTGGGGGGAGCGGCAAAAAAGCCATAAGAGACAAACCCGGACAAATAGAGACAACGCAAAAAGTTGTTTGCAGTCTTTATGCGTTTATAAAGATTTTTCAATGTTTTAAGAATTTTGTTTTAAAAAATTGGAATACGTTAAATTCGTTTGTGCAACAAACTATTGGCACACCATCGTTTTTGGAAGTGCGCAGGTGCTACAGGAAAGCAGGGTACACAATGAGATTTTTCAGGGTTTAGGATACAGTTTCCGATACGATTGAACGATACACTTTTTGAGGTGGTGTACAGGTAAGATACATTTTTCAATAATTGCGGTTCAAATACACTTTCAGAGTTTTTTTCGAGGTGGCTATGTGTGTGATACGGCTTTCAACACCACGCATGCGCGCATCACAGGATCGTTAGGTTCGGCTCCTGGTGAACGACATTTCCGTTTTTGTTTGACCGCAGACGACAACCCAACCCCATGGCCCGGCGAGTTCTCAGATAGGATTTCAATATGGTTTCGGATAGGCTTGGTGAGGGGGTCCGGGCCGTCCGCGAGCGGCCCCCCTGGGGCTGGGGCCAGGGCGCAGGGGTGGCAGGCGGGCGGCACAGGCAGAGCAGGGGCAGGGGCAGGGGCAGGTTGGAATTGGAAAGTCCTCAGATGTTTGAAGTTACCAATAACTCCTCCTTCTCCGCGCAAGCCTGACCCTAAACTAATCGTATTTGAAGGTGTGTCGGACAGTGTATCCTTAGTTTTGGTGTGCATCCAAAACGTACTAGAACCTGTATCGAATGTGTATCCCTAGTTTAGTTGGATGTGCGTCCAAATCGTATCGTTATATCGTATCTGAGCCCGTATCCGTAAGCGTAAAATGAGCATTTCCTGTTTTAGATACGTGTGGCTGGTTTCGCACTTCAGAACCATAGTTGCAGACCCCGGGGAAAAAGAGTGCTTCGCACATCTTCGATAATGCAAAGCCTTGCTTGTGTCGATAAACAACCCCCTGTGCCAGGTCTTCTTTATCCTGTACATCATATACATCATCGAGCTTCTTCTTTTCTACAATATTGAAATATTCAAAAATTATTTGAAAACTGTGAAATTTTTAGAAGTTTTTTAACTTGTAAAACCGTTTAACACTTTCAAAAATGTTTGTAACGACGTGTACACAACATATATCAACAAACGCTATTTGCTTGGATTTGTCTTATTTGTTTGGATTTGTCGTTATTTGTCTGGGCTTGTCTCTTTTTGTCCTTTCTTGACGTTCATTGTCATTGTTTGTCTTTATTTGTGTTGTCTAAGACTTCTGGTTCTGGGTCGTCGCAAATGGTCAGCGATTTAGGGTTTAGGGCTTAGGGTAGCTATAGTATCCATGATAGCGTTTTTGGTTGCACCAATTTTTCAGTTAGGATCCTGAAAGGTTACCCAGAAAAAAACCCCAATGGAGACTATAGGTAGGGTTCATTAGGGTTCATTGTGGTTTAGGGTTGAGGGTTGGGGATAAAGATTGGGGTTCATTCGGGGCTAAAGTTGAGGGTTTGGGGTTGAGGGTACGATTGGGATATGCTCGAAACCTTAAACCCTAAACCGGGATATGACTTATGGCTCCTTAGGGTTTAGGCCCTTTCGGCCAGGTCCTGAGGACGGTTTGAGATTTAGCACCCATTCGAACATCAATACACTTTGCACATGAAATTCTTTGAACCCAAGGGCGGACCGTAGGATAGCACCAAGCCTGAAGCCCCAAGGTAAGTCGCATAGATTTTTGAGAATAGACATTCACCCTTGACGCGCAACCCTGAACCCACCATGGCTTACCCGAAACCCTCAAAGCTTAATTCCACAGAAGCCCCGCCCCTCCTCATCTTTACGGGTTCTATAGTGGGGTTATACCAAGGCTTAGTTTGTTCGAACCCCTTTGGCCCTAAAACCCTATGCCCCTACACCCCCGCCCCCCCGAAAAGACCATGGGCCGTGAGCCAGGAGGCCAGTTTCACTGCGGACAGCATTACCTGCGCTGCCGCTATCAGCGCATGCGAGAAGGGCAGCCAGTGGCAGCCTCTCGTCTGGAGCCGGGTTTAGGTTAGGGCTTAGGGTTTTTTTTTGGGGGGGGTCTAGGGTAGGTTTTGTACGGGTTTAGGGGTTTGGAACCTTATGAGGTTTATTTTTGTGTGCTGTTAGGCATTATGAACATGTGCGTGTGTGTATTATTATTATTATTATATATATA